ATAATAAAGTATCCCATTATAAAACATTACAAAACTTTGGGAAGATGACCAAAAGCTTGTTTAAAGTGATTGGTAAAATAGACATTCAAAGAGGTTGAAGGAAGATAATCTAGAGCTTAGGGCCTTGGAAGCTGAATGGTGGTACAATTGAAAACAAGGCTCCTGAAGAGGCCTGAATGGAGGATTGTTGGCATCTTGGAGGGTCATGAAGCTGGAGGAGATTACAGGAGTAGGAAGGGACAAGACCATGGAGTTCCTGAGAGGCAACTTGAGAGCAGTGGGTGGAGGGTGGGATATAATATTGATTGGGAAACCCAAATATTCAACACTTCTGTCAGTGGTATTTTAACCTCTGCCAGGACCATGGAAGTGTGCAGAAGCAAGGATGAAAATTTTGTAATGTTTAGAAGTAGGGTCATATGACTCAAAATGTTTACCTTACATTAGATGTTGCCCGAACTGCTGAGTTTTACAAGCACATTCACATGCTTCAGATTTCCAACATCCTCAGTTCTTTGTTTTATGATGGGAAATGTGTATATTACTGAAGCAGGCAGGACAACAATAAGCGAACAGTAAAGGAGTGAATTTGATAACAGATGCAGAGTTTTGGATGATTTAAGTTTTCTGAGTGGGGCCAGCCAGGGTCGTATTAAAATGGACAAATACAAAGAAATGGATTAAGGTTTCAGTGACAGATGAGTTTTTTCCTTTATTCGTTAACAGGATGAGGGCTTCACTGCCTCGGCAACATTTATGGTCCATCCCTAATTGCCCATAGGGCAGTTCAGAGTCAACCACATTGCTGTGGGTCTGGAGTCACATGTAGGCCAGACCAAGTAAGGATGGCAGTTTCCTTCCCTAAAGGACATTAGTGAACCAGATGGGTTTTTCCTGACAATTGACAATGGATTCATGGTCATGATTAGATTCTTAATTCCAGATATTTTTATTGACTTTGATTTCCACCATCTGCCGTGGCAGGATTCAAACCTGTGTCCCCAGTACATTATCTGGGTCTCTGGATTAGCAGTCCAGCTATAATATCATCACCTCCCCATTGAAGCCGGGACAGAGTCAGGCAATGTTGCAGAGATTGAAATAGGTAGCCTTACTGATGGTACAGATATATGGTCAGGCGTTCATCTTGGGGTCAACTTAGACTGCAGGATTGTAAATAGCTTGGTTCAAACTCAGGCTAGAGCTTGGAAAGGAGCTAATGATGAGGAAACAGAGTTTGTTATTAGGACCAAAGACAATGGTTTTATTTATTAGACTTATTTGTTCTGCACTGGAGTTGTAATTATGTCATGTGCAGGTCCTTGTAAGACCACTGTGGCTAATTGACTGACAAACTCAATGGTGAAATTAGAAACAAGCTAGCAGAGATCAACAAGACACTGACAGAACCGTTGAACAGGAAGGCTGACGTTTCGAAGGCTGACGTTTCGGGCCCGAAACGTCAGCCTTCCTGCTCCTCTGATGCTGCTTGGCCTGCTGTGTTCATCCAGCTCTACACCTTGTTATCTCAGATTCTCCAGCATCTGCAGTTCCTACTATCTCTGAACCGTTGAACATCTGGGTTTCCAATGCAATATCACAGATCACCTCCCATCCCACCACTTGCCTCACAGTTAATATCAGGGCCCTTGACTGTGAGTGTCTATGAATTACTGAGTGCAAATGTGTACACTTTGAGTGTGCATTAGTCCACAACTAGGTTGTGTGCAGGTTGGTTGTGAACATGTATAGGGTCATTGTGTGTGAAATAGAAACATAATTATAGAAACACAACACGATGGGTTCAAAGAAGAGTCCACTAGAAACATTAACTCTGTTTCTCTCTCCACAAATGTTGCCTGATCTGTTGAGCATTTCCAGCATTTTTTTTTAACTTTTTTTTATTATTAAAAATATACTTTATTCATAAACTTTGCAAAAAAGAGTACAAAACATTTGACTTGAAAATTCAGACTTCTCTCCTTACTTGTCCATATGACATGTTCAAATTTGACTCGTCTCAATAAAATTATAACAATTTTTATGTTTACAATATAGATTCCACATCAGGCATATAGCCCAAGGGCAGTTCTGTTTTCCTTTCCAGGAGAATATTTTATTCATAAAATATGTAAAAATACATTGCAAAACATTTCAACCTGAACATGATAATAGTAGCAATTAAATTCAACTTTTCTCCACTGAATAGATGGTAACGGCCTGAATATTTACAAAATGATTCCATGGGAGATACATAGCCTGAGAGCAAACACTTTTCAAATAGGAAATTACAAAGACTGCAATCAATGTAAAGATCCCTCCTAGCTAGTTTAGTTTTTATTTCAGATTTCTAGCAACCACAATAGTTTGCTTTTATTGAAGCTGTCCCAAGAGAAGAAAAAAAACAGTAAAAGCAAATAATAATACTTGGAAATGAGTGTACTGGTCCTAATGGAGCACTGTTCTGGGGTGTACAAAATGTACTGTTCTGAGGTATATGAAAACACATCAAACAAATATGGGTCATTCAATTAAAAAAACACCAAAGAACGGTGGATACAGGAAATCAGAAAGAAAAACAGAAATTGCTTGGAAAACTCATCAGGTCTGGCAGGATATGTGGAGTGAAAGCAGAATTAATGTTTTGGGTCCAGTGACCTTTCTTTAGAACTGATTGTAGCTAGGAAAATTTGGTACATATGCTGGGGGTGGGTTTGGGGGAAGGGGAAAAATAAGTGATAAGTAGAGTTGGATGAACACAGCAGGCCAAGCAGCATCATAGGAGCAGAGAGGCTGACGTTTCGGGCCTAGACCCTTCATCAGAAATGT